TTTTTTTTTTTTGATAAAAAAGTGTGTTGCTAAGAGATTGCACTTTGTGATCATCTTAAAAATTTGTGATTAATTATTAGTGACTATACATTGTATCATATATGTTTCGTACACCGATTGTTCGTACAGTCATTAGATACGTCTCTAATGTACGTTAGTGAAGAACAAGTTACTTATCGAAGATTATACGACTCTTTACAATGCAATAAAGACTGACCTACCAAGTTGTCGACCCGTCGAGAGAATCTTCTAAATTACAATCTCCACAAGTTCTTTCAAGTGTAACGTTTGGGTAAGATATGAACTTCGTATACCCCCTTCCCCCTTTTTTTTATCTTCCCTAACAATCTCGTATTCTTGCTTTCCCCTCTTCCATTTGTTTTTTTTTCTATTCTGTGTAACGTTTTTCACGATACTCTTCAAAACTCTTTACACGATACTCGTCGACGAGGTCATGTCTTGTGCAGATAACGCGGACAAGTCACCTGAAAGGAGGGCCACAAATGGTGCCAGGCACTATTTATTCATATACATGTCGTGTATATCATTAGTTACGTTAATTACACTAATGTACCAAATACGACTCTTGAGAGCAGCTCACACCAGGATACATCCTGAGACTGAGTAAAGCATAGGCTGAGACCATCCCGAAGCGGTTTAATCAGGAATAAGACAGCTTTGTATTTCATAATTGCAACCCTGTCCTGCCAGAATATTGTGGATTCAATAGAATGAAACACGAATGTGTATGTATATATGTAGAGAGAGTGTGTGTGTGTGTGTGTGTGTTTGTGTGTGTGTGTGTTCTTTTGCTCTGCACTTTTGAGTCTCGAAGATCTAATAAATCTGTTCACATGAGTTTCTAAATTCTCATTCATCGGTACATAATTGTTTGGAAATACGTGCGCGTTCAAGGTCAAGCTGTCGTTGTGTACGATTTAGGCTTTAAGGGTTGCAAAGTTTCTTCCTTTAGTGTCAACGTCTTATTTCCTCTTTCATATCAAATGTGCAAAATACTTGTGGAAAATGTATATAACGTATGTATGTATACATATGCGAGTTTGCGTGTATATACCTTTGTTATTTTTCTCCTTTAGTAATCAAGACTATATAACATGCTTATTTCACATACAGTATGCATATATCTCGCCTATTACCTCGTAATAATCAATATATTAAATTTCCGATCGTGTTTTACGGAACATCGCAATTCTCTTGAGTACAGCAGCCGATTATCATTAATCGTTTTCCTTAGCGGACATAGACCGTTAATGAGTTCGCTAAAAGAAAAAAAGACTCCGCTACTTAAAAACAAACCGACGGTTACTTAACGAATTAATATAAAAAAAAAAATTAAAAAAAGAAACAAATATATGAAAAGACCTACGACACGCGTACAATCTTTCTTTATGATAAAATGTTGCACGATTTCTTAAACTTGTTTAAGCAAGAGCTCGGTTTCCAAGCAAAGAGATATTGCCATATACAAAAAAAGAGAGAACGAAAAACAAAACGTAAGAAATAAAAATTCTACCACTAATCGAATATCATTATTTTCTGACTAGGCATTCGATTAAAAGAAATTATGTTCATTGTTTCCATTGGCATTCTTTGTAAAACGTCAATTAACGGATTATGCCGCGGATTTAACTACCTATTATAACGCACGAAGAAAAAAAGAAAAAAAAAAAGAAAAGAAAACAAGTAACAAAGTACAATTACTGGTAAATTCCTACCGTAAATTATAGACGTGGTTCGCAAACACTTTAAAGAAACTCGGTTGTCGATGCACCTATCCCGAAACACCTTGCTCCTGGATCAATTTAACATTCTTAAAAACATACACCGATTCCCTTGTTTGTTTCCTTTTGTTCTAAAAGGAATAACTTTGTCATAGCGACAAATACCAAGGACACAATGTCATATCACGAAGAAAATGACAGTGAATTAATGACATATATACAAACAACTTCGTATTATATACATGAAAATGTGTGCGTGTGCATGCGTGTGTGTGATACGCGCGCGTACATATTATACACATATACGTGTATGTATGTATGTATGTATATATGTATGTCCTGTATATGTGTTTGTGTGCGCGTCTCTGTGTGTATGTATGCATGTATGTCCTCTGTATGTATACATATATGTATACATATGTGTGTATGTATAAGTGTACATATATATACATATATAATATTTATATGTATATATTTATACTTATACATGTAACACTTCAACATTATGGCACCGTTTTGTAATCGTCAAACAAACGCATTTTTCCATGGGCTTCAAGATATAAACCTAATTTCTGTTTCCATCCACTAATTCGGGCCGCGACACCGATCGTTCTCCCGCTTGCGCACCGAAACCAGTGGGCAAAACTGTAACGAGTCTACAACTTCGAGTCCTGGAACTTCACAAGCACTATACGCCGTTGTACGTGGAGGTTTCATTTAAACGACCGAGCGTGACCACGAGATTTAATATTAAGTCGCCCAGCCCTCCGTCATCCTGGAACGCTTCATCAGCGGACCGTTCTCATAGTCTGAATTGTTCCCCCCGTTTCCACCGGCTGTCGAGTGACTTGTTCTGATGTCTGTCACCGTGCCGCTTCCCGGTGACGGCAAATTCGTTGGCGTTATGCTACCCGAATGAGACGGAGGTGGATTACTACTCGGTCTGCTCGACACTAAATTCAACGACTGTGGCACCGGATGTGGTACATGATGTGGAGGAGGTGCACCGGTACTAGACGATGGACCAACGTTTAGAGTCGTGTGGTGAAGGTTACTAGTAGTACTCGGCCCACCGTTGTTAGAACCACCATTCCCACCGTGTGGATCTCTTGGTGGACTGATTGGTTCACTTTTTATCTTCACTGGTAAAGGCGAAGTCGCTGGCGGCGGTGTGCTGCTCGACACGGCCAAATGAGGAAGACCACTGCAACCAGACAACTGGTATGAAACACGTGTAAGATTAACACAGAGACCCTCCGATTTCCTCTTTTCATGAAGCTTGCGTGTCTTTTGCTTATGGAACCCACGATATCCTTGATTCTGATGATATTACATATATGTGTATATATTTCTGAGCAAAGCAAGATCACACATATAGTATGTATGTATATGTTTTGGAAAAGCTTGACTCCAGCGAGCCCAAACCGATGATACATACATACATACATCGTATGGAAATTGAATATTCTGTTGTCGCTGCTGTTTACAAAACGAGTTGAACCTATCTTGTATTAAAGTATGAACGTATATTTATGTTATTGTGTCGTTGATGGCTGACAGATGGGAATAATGTGGATTAACTTGAGCACGACGAGTTAAAAGAGATCGAGTATTACAGAGTGATGAAATCGATGCATTGGCATGCTACAATCGACAATCGAAACAAGCCGAGACTACTACGGAACAACTTCAGCGTCAAGATGACGGACAAAGAAAGGATCACTGAATGTCTCGCATACCATATCAACTGGGCACATAGTTTTCTTTCGTAATAATAATTATGAAGTATGATTTACCTGATGCTGGACATGGTGGCTGCCGAATACATTGATAAGTCATCAACGTACCTCTGATGAGACCATGCTAAACTTCCGAGGTCCGAGGAATAATCCGTTGGTCCGAAGCTAGAGTATCCAGCTGGAACCGATGGTGTCTGCAGTGCTACTACCGGCGTATTCAATGCGGATTGTGCATGGCCGTTCTGTATACCGCAACGAGAACAAAAATAAAACAAAGATAGACTTCGAACAAAGTCATATCGACGAATAATTTACATACATGCATACATATGTCTTTCCGACACTTACATCGTAACTGGTATCTTCGGAAAGGGGTTGCGTAAGGGGTGTTGGAATAACTACTCGTAGATTGGTCCTGTGGGGATGAGGCGGCGGAGGTGGTGGCGGAGGTTGCGGCGAATGTCTAGATGGATTGCTGGCTTTGTTACCACTGCCTCCTCCGACTCCCAATGCCGGCGAAGGTCCTGGACTAGGTGAACCTCCCAGTGGTGATGCCGACGGAGGATATCCGTTGCTCATTTCCAACATCCCTCCCGGTGGATAAACTAAACAAAAAAAGACAGTAGCGACAGTTGGAATGATCTTTACCTTTAGTCATCTGAAACGCGCCCGCGTGTATGTGCTCTCTCTCTCTCTCGCTCTCTCTGCCTGTGTGTGTGTGTGTGTATGTTGGGTAAGAGGGTGGTACCTGAGTCTGTTTCAGAAGACGATGGCCGCGGAGAAATGCTGGTATGGGCCATTTGAGGACTAGATCCAAGTAGAGATTCGCCATAACTATTCACCGGTACGGATACAGGTAGAGTGTAGTTAGATTGCCCCATTGCCTGAAAACACAATAAATCGATGATGATATCCCGTTAATCGTAGTCGTCAGTGAGAAATTAACAACTAACAAGGTCGATCAGATCTTCCATTCCCTTCCCATGTCCGGTCGACGGTACAAGAAAACCCCGAAAAAGGTGAGTGCCATAAGCATCTACCATCCATTGGTTTGTCGTTCGTGAAAGAATTCACCAATTAACATGGGAATAATCTCACCCTTGTAAACACGGCGAAACCTAACTCACGGTGCGATAATGAACGACGGTGTGAATTAAATGCATGCGCCGTCCGATGACGTTCGATGCCAGACTGTTAAAAGGTAATGAATGGATAAAAGACCAAGAGGACCAATGAATCGTTCTCATCCATGCGAAAACTCGGACCCATAGATTCCCATGGAGGGCTGTGAGAATGTCGATAAGAAATTTCCATAGGACGTAAAAATTTCGAGGAATACCGGACATTTCTATGATTGACCAACTATTGTCAAAAAAGAAGGTGACAGTTGGAATTGAGCAAATGCGTGTCGTCGTAACGATTGTTCGACTCCTAGGACGGAATTCCGACTGGCAAGGTTGAAGAGGACCAAGGTGGTGGCTGGAATACATACCCGGGTGCCATTGTGCTGGTGCCTCTGCATCATCAGTTGGAATTCCTCATCGATCTTGGTGTATTTGGCTTCGGTACGCGGAGTCAGATTATACTCGATCGCCTCTTGGTCCGGGCTTTCTGGGGACATGGCACCCTTATGTTCCTTCTTGTTGAGTGCCTGCAAGTGTCAGCAGACAGGTTCACGTGACCACACCGCCCGAGGGCACTCAACCTTCGCATGCACGTTAATTTAACGCTAACACTAAGTGGAGACTAGCCTCGAAACCTGCGTTTCTGATTGTTGCCGACCGATCTGTGTACTTTACCGTTCGCACGTACCACATACCACATAATACGTACTACTTATTACGTACCACGTAATATTGTACATAGCACGTGCGTGCACATGGAATCGGACGCGATAAATAACACCAGGTTACCTGTTGCAGTGATACTTTAACTAGACTAAAATGATTGTTGGTGATCGAGACACGCATGGTGCCTAGTTGCGAGCGGCACAATCCAGAACGTCATGTACCTAAATATGTGCAATTGCTTCCCCAACGACGAATGGTTACTGAGCTTGCCGACAATACTGAGAAAATTCTGCCTCGAGTGCGTTTCACTGTTCCGGTAACCAGCCACTACTACCATTCTATCGGAGAGCATTGCTTTCTATTATTTCTGTTTCCTTGAAATCTTTTAGTAATTTCAGAAGTTCACATGCAACTTTTCGCACAAGTAAAACGCACACGAGGCCATCTCTTAATTCCATTAAGGCCGTACACACAAGTTTACTACTACCCTGTTTTACCCCCTTCACTTCGCTCTCTTTTTTTTCATTTCTTTCTCTGACCACTAACCGCCCTAAGAAAATCATTGTAATTTTAAACGATTTGTGATACGATGAGAGATATCTACAGTGAAAAATTCCAGCACGTACACATAAGGGATGTTCCACTAGAAATCTAGTCCCCGCCGTCTGTTACAGATCCCACGACAGAGCTGCTTTCATAATAATAATAATGATAATTGTTACCAATCAATATTGGGTAACTGTCTCTGTACATACTTGTTGGCACCAACGCCAAATTGCGGATTTCATGTAAATGTAATTGTTCGTGGAATGCGATCTTGACATCGCGAAGTGATCAGTTTTCGTCAAACCACCCGTTATACATAAGAAATCCCGTGGAAAAAAGTCTCGCAGGAAGCGGCTTATGCACGCAGGCAGATTTTCAACAAGCTCGTGTAATTTCGATGATCGACTACTGAAAAACTTAATAACTACCAGTGATGATACGAGATACGAGAGCAACTACGGGGGGGGGACCGTGTAATTCTTCACTGTGAAATCTCTCATTCGACCGGTATACATATACGGGGTGTACCGACTACCGAGATGGTTGGTGTACCATTCAGTTGACAAGAGCCGTACTCGTCGATAAATCCAACAAATCGTAGGTATTCCCGAGGGAACGATCCAACAATGGGACCCCATGTCGTCGTTTTTTTTTTTTTCAGTATTCTTCTCTCTACGTTCACTACATACATATGTACTAGATATGCCTGGCGGGCAAAGTGTCGCGTAACGATTCGGTTAGGTCGGCGGGCGCTGGTAGGTAGGTATTCTATGGGTTTTCGACTGCTTCCCTGGAACCTTGACCATTACTGAGGAGAAATCGGCTCACCTCGATGATGTTCTTGTTGGTGAGAGACTCGTGAGGTTCGTTGTACTCGGTGTACTTGAGAAGAACCTTGTCCATGTCGGTGCTCGCATACTGGTACAGCTTGTTACTCGAACTGAAGATAATCAGCGCGATCTCGCAGTCGCAAAGCACCGACAGCTCGTACGCTTTCTTCATCACCCCGAATTTCCGTTTATTAAAGGTCACCTGTTGGCGAACACACAGAGACGAGGCAAATGTTAGGCTGGCCGTGGAAACCTTTTTTTACCGTCGTATTACTATCTTTTATCATTGAATGTGGTGAATGAACGACAGTTTCGAGACGTGCGGCAAAAGTTCATCGAGTTTCGTTTCGAACCCTCTCTCCTTTCCTCCCATCATCGTTTATACATACATATATATACACACTTATGTACCTATACATATATGTGCATCCCCCGGAACCACAGTGTACTAGGTCGCACTTTTCAACCTTTAGAGGAGAGGAAATCAAAGGTGCGAAAATCTTGTAACTTTCGAACCATTCGGTAAAAATTGAAAGTATTGAATGGATTTAAGACAGGTCTTTATGTGTAGAAATGAAACATACCCTATTTTAAAACTATGAATCTGATATCATTTTTAGACTATTACATATCTATCAATTAAAAACTAGACGACTTGGAATTTTACCATCGGAAAGGATGAAATATTTCATACAGGAAACATGTAAAGTGTCATTTTTATAAAAAGTGGACGTGATCCACTCTGAGGCTCTGAGGTCCAGATATACATACATATATGTATATATGTTTCTTTTCTTTTTATTCTATTATTTGCATAGTCTCTCAGTTTCAATTGTCGTCGAGAGAATTACGTGTTGATTGCCGTAGATGTATCTACGTTTCGATTATACGATAAGAGGACAGAGAACTAACATCGGCGTATCGGTGCTTGATATCGATAAGAAACAGCGTGATTAACATGAATAGAATCGTTGATGCGAACAAATATTTCGATTATCGTTCTGATTACGATTAAACCACTAGTAAATATTAGTCTTTCGACGCTGCCACCTTCCTAGCATTCGGTTCGGTTAGATAAACGAGAGTATAGGTACATATCTACGTACACATAGGAAAATAGGTAGGTACGTAATACATACACATGTGGCAGAGTGTTCCGGTGGCAACGTAATTGATGTGCCCGACCGAAATTAAGAAACAAAAAAACACCTAACCCGCAGGAAAAGTTTCCCAGTCTCTTTGAAATAGATATTATGAAAGAATACCTGACGATTCCGTTCGTCCGTGATACGTGAAATTTGAATCTTCTTCCGACCCATTTTTGCACGACGTTGTGGAGAAGGGACAGCTCTTCGGAACCACTGGATGGAATATTAAAAACACTGGAACATAAAAACAAGAATATACCGTTAGATATCTTCCTTTTACGATTTCTTAATCAGAGGAAATCGCAACCCTATTATCGTTCACAAACTGACTTTTCTGGGCAATAGAAAGAGTAGGTAGGGGAGATTTTCTCAAAGATGAGTGAATTTTCCCGATTGTACAGAGATTTGAATGAAGCACCACAGGTTGTTTTCGAACATGGCTTGGCTTGTTTGCTGCGCGACGGTAATCGATACGCGGAAAACCGAAGACACGTGCTTTATGTCTCGCCGGCAGGTTTTAACGCACGGTCCAGTTCTGTCGTGCATCATACGTCGTAAACTCCTGCTTCGGTTTTCTATACCCCCACATCGTCCGTCGTCCTTTTGTTTTAGTTTAATCACGCGGCAAAGCAAAGTTGCTCAATTCAATTCGAACCACGCGATATTTAATGTTGAAATTTTTGTCGAGGCAAATGTCCGCGAAATTCTCTGAAAAAGATCCACAAGTTCGAGGACCTACATAAGGGTTCATTGTGTAGAAAAAATGGGAGCTGAAGAGATTGTTTCAGCGAGAGATACATAACGACAAAATCAAAAAGTCGCGAGTACATTTCCATACTTTAGTCTCTGTCTCTCTCTGTCTCTCTCTCTCTCTCTCTCTCTCTCTCTACATTATTAATTATACATCTTACACAAGTCGCGATCTTCGTCTCGAGCTCGTGCTTCTAGCAACGAGATCCAGCAAATTATTACGGTTCTCGTCGCTTCCCAATTTTATGGAAGATTCTAACTGCATTAAACGAGTACGCACGTGCAACGCGCTTCTTCGTTTTCCTTAGATCTCTGTTGTTGTTGTTGTTGTTGTCGTAAATAGCCACGAGATACCTAGACGGCCTGTATGTGCCTATCGATGTGCTGGCGTACTTTCGAGGAAACCTCGGACGACAAAGTCGATTATTACGCACGTTAATTAACGACGATAAAATGAAAAGCGATCGATCGTTTATTAGGCGATCGTGTTCTGCTAATTGCACCAACCTCCTAATTATTTGCTTTCGTCTTATGTTCCCGGGCTTTTCTCGGAACTGGCCGAAATTAGATTCCGTCGCGAGTGCCATGTAATTTTCCTCTTTGTTCATTCGTTTCTTGTTCATCGATCCGTGCGACAACAGATAAACGATACGTTCACAATTTTGTCTTTTTTCTTTCTTTGTCGAGTAAAATTATGCCTCCTCGTTACTGGGTATCTACGCGTCGTCCACCCAAAACGTTCGTAACAGATAGACATAGAACCTACTTGATCGGTAGGTATACACTTTTATAGATAATTTTTCTTGAGCGAATTCATCGTGTGGTTCAGTCTTCGATGATCAGCAACTACGGTAATCGACATTTGGTTTCAGCTGAAACTAATCACCGATAAAGTTTCGTCGGCGCAACGTCAGCGATAGATGAGCAGCAAAGTGAAATTATCTTTGCACCAAACGCGATTAGATATACATAATAAGTAATACGTCTCGAAGGAATTATAAAGAGCCTGATGTAATGATCGTATGGCGAACACTACCGAAAAACGATCTATCGTTTACACTTTAGTCCTTTACTGGTTTGCATGGGGATCTACATTTGTTGAAATGTAAAGAACAATATTCAGTTGATTCGGTTGACCGATACTTTCGATTCTATTCGATCGATTAGCCCTGCGAGGTACTTTAATGATCCAATAATCCAAACCGTCGCCGATTCGATTCGATTCGATTCACGAATTCACGAATACACGAATACACGAGCATTTGAAGTGGTGGTCGGCCGTCGGCTCTAGTAAAAACATTGGCTTTAACTTCGTTCTAATTCTAAGCTCCATCAACTATATTTACCGAAGCCCCTTTCATTCATTCCGTGCACGCGAACACTCGCTATATGAATTAACGCGCGTTTCACGGGCAAACGTTGTTATTTTTGTCGCGGTTATCCTCTGCATCGCGAAATCATGTTATGCCGTCACCGATAGTAGGACCTGCCTAATTATACCGCGCGCTCCGTGAATCGCGGTATAGCACAGGACCCGCACCGGTTACGTTACGAGGAACCACGAGTTCATACATAAATGGACAGGACGGACACCTATACATATGTACGCTTATACCGATCGGCATATCGAGTACAATCGCGAAGTCTCTATCCCGACGAATCCGTACTACCTTCCGAGTTCCAATTAAAACGACAACAAAGTATACACTCTGTTACGTAAATATCAACCACCGGCTGTTCCGTGAACCACAGACCAGACCGGGATAGAAATATGTATAATCAGACGGAACATGTATGTATTATAACATATGTATACATACATATAGGTGGCATCGACCAGATGATAGACCTGTCTACTCCTAACTATAGCACGCTGGAAAAAGAGTGGCCAAGAAAGAAATAGAGAACATCGATACGAGTCGCGTATATGTATAAACGAACATGTATATATTTCAACATACATTTCTGGTGTAGACGATTCAAATTCTTCAAACCTTTTCTTTAGAATATTTCCAGAATAAACCGTAGAGTACAAATTGTCACATCATTCTCGCCACAGGTGTACAACTATTCGGAGAAGATTTTCAAACAACTTTTGACGTACAAGTTCGTACAAAGTATCGACTCCAATATTAGAAAAAAGAAAGATCGGGTACGTTTACAAAAGTGGCCTGGCACCATATGGATTACTACTCGGATTATAAAACTATGAGAGTCAGAGAGGCAGACTGATAGAGATAGAGACAGGGATAAAGAAGCGCGGTGGCTTTCTTCACCGGTGACAGTACAGAGGCATACACACCTCGTCAAAGACTGGAGGAAGCGGTTGCCGCTCGAACAGTCGCCCGATCGAATTCGGTTTATAATACAAGAGCGTAGAACGCGAATCCCAAGGGTCAGCGACCCATGTGTATTTCCTATACACGTTGTATTTCGCATCAAACATTTTCTTGCTGGAAATATTACCGATCTACCTTGAATAATAATTGAAATTTGTCAGAAATGAAAAATTCCTAGGCGGTCACCCAACCATCTAACGGTTGATCGTGACTTAACCGCGTTTACACGGGAGCTATACCGATCAACTACTCCATGACATAAGGTATTACCGATGACGTGTGTGGCAGTACGCAGCAGTGTTAATATTCACACAATGCCGTAATGTTATGCGTGTACTATAGTTTTACTCTTCTGCTGCAAAGAATATTTATTAAACCGATAACCACCGGATTAGAATGAAATTGGCTGGAGATTTAAATGGCGATCGACTCCTCGCTGACGTTGAAACGTTGTTTTGGCCAAGTCGTGAACGAACCGATTTAATTCAATGTACCAAACTTCGATACGAATACTAACACGGACCACGATAAGAGGATTTTATCACGGTTTAACTCGTAGCACCGATCATTACTATGACACGTTGAACATTGCCAAACTGTTTCATTTGTTATTCATCTACAATTGGGATCAGCGTTATCTCGATACTACTGTGGACCACATTTTGCTTTACAATTTTTTCGTTATTCGATTCAAACGGCTTACACACCGAATCCTACCCATCAACAATTAAACCGCGGTATAGTATTTAAAACCCGATAATAGCTGCTACGGGAACTATTTAATATACGCGGGTGATTCGTAATAAAATCGATTGAACATTGTGACAATCGTTCAATCGATAAAGATTTAAATTCGATAACTCACCGTCTCGATATAAACTCGATCAGTCGAGCATCTCGATATCCGTTCGCCAATCGATCGATCTTCTTGCGCGCACTGAATCGATATCAAAACAAAGATGGCGAGATCATGCACTCTTTCACAGATGTTGCGATCACTATTCTAATCGAAGAATTGTAATCAGGCACTAGCTGGACGTCGGTGAAGCACAGATGTTCTTCATCAACAAGATCACTCCATCTATCTGTCGAAAAATCTCGTGGTTCGGTGTGCCTCGTCGATTATGCTAGATTACCGCGTAGGTTATCATCGATGTTGCGCGCGCGCGCGCACGCGGTTTACCTTTATTTACGGATCCACTTGTTTTCCGTAAACGTTAAACTAAGGACACGCGGAAGAGCCTCCATCGGTCACAGAATAGTTTATTTCGTAACAGGCAGGCACGTTTTTCAACCTTTCTATTTCTCAACGAAAATATAATATTCGTTCGTGCAGGTACACAGAGAATGCGACGTACACGCGTCAGAGACGTACACGTATTATAAACGTAGAATACGTGGTGTGGTGTATATGTACATACATATGTGGCTCGTATGTAGCCACCGAGCGAGAAAATACAATTATCGAGAGGTTAGCCTAGTCAAAAGAGCGAGGAGAGGAGCTCCGTTCTCCAGAACGGACGTCAATGGTCCCGCGATCGATATCTCCCCACTAACAACACCTTCGCGAAAGGTACAACTTTAAGATCAAAACAAAACTTTTCGTCGAGGCGGTTACGTAGAAATATCAGAGACAGAAGCTTTTTGGCACGAATCAACTTGCACTCGTTTCTACCGATCGAATCAACACGCGTCACATCACACGCCGGATTTCATCGAATCGTCAAAAACGTATTCGTTACAACATCGACGACGACCACTACGAACAACGATGAAAATTTTCTCAATCTCGTTCTTGATCCTCTTCCCTTTTTCTTCTTCTTCTTCTTCTTCTTTTTCTTCTTCTGCCTTCCCTTCTTTCGTTCTTCCTTTCTGCTTCTTCGATATATCGTGATACTGATATATGTATGTATGTATGTGTGTGTGTATATATATATATATATATATGACACCACACAACCGTGTTAATAACGTGATACCTCAGCGGAGACAGCTTACCAGAATTCAAGCTGGCTAGGTTAGAATGTCCTGGTTGACTAGAAACGATGACTAGAAACACACGTATTTCTTAAAATATTTTTCACGTGCGACGAGCCGTCGATTTGCACTGCTCCGTAGAAGATTCAAATTTAGAAGCGTCGTATC